TGGACACTTGGACATTTGGACGTTTGGACATTTGGACAGTCGAAAAAGTGCTTGGACATCCAAAATGTACAACACTGCACTGCCCTCCCCCATACAACGTACCCAGGGGGTACTAATTATTTTTAAACTCCTAAATTGTAAGACCGAGGGTACTTATTATTATCAGAGATTTGAGAAATATGCACGAAAAAGAATTTGTGCCTCGTGACTTGAATATATTAATGTCGAGTGTTCCTCTTAATTGCTGAGTTTGGACTTGCCAGCCCCAATTAATTTAATCAAGAAATTTATGGTGTACTTCTTTACACGAGTCCATAAGTAAATCTGCAGATACTTGTAGTTTTGAGATGATGGTGCAAATTTATCATCTATTAACGGGTAAATGACAGGGCTGAATACTTTGCATTTTCAGTTCTGCACTTTTTAAACTGTCCTAGATCTAGAAGTGCAGAAATTAAATCGAAAATCCAACAAAACGCAATTTACACTAATGAAAATACAAGTTTGCTAGTATAGATATTGTCCTCAATTGTACACAGTAACATATGTACGTATGTATTGAGAATGGCGCAAATACGTAATTATGTTTACGTATCGTGTAATATATCTCACCATTTGAGGTTAAAGGAATTTCCTTACTCATTAGAGACAAATCTGGCGTATTTTTCACATGAACGATAGACATTACCGTAGCTGATTATCTTCTATGATGTCAGATTAAACTTAACGTTTTCCTTTAATTTCTCGTCTTTACGAAATTTTTGCTAGCAAAATAAAAAAATACTACAAATATGAGTCCTGGGAAAGTACAAGTCATTGTCGGTAAGATCTTGAAAAATGATATTGATAACACTTGAAAACTTGTATATCGTTTTTTAATCATATATTGTGTGTAGTCGAAGGCAGAGAATTGGCAGATAAAGATCTCATTGGTATATTATCATATAAAAAGTTGCACTTTCTTTTACATTGATTTTCGCCAGTACTTTTAAGTATATATTACACACAAACAAAGGAAAAAGCGACCCATTTGTTGAACTTTGGTTCGATAAGAAATACAAACAAAAAACGAGCACCATAAAAAACAATTTGTCGCCTGTATGGATCGAAGGACTTGAATTGTAAGTTAAAAGTTTTTTAAAGATGTGTGGTAACAAAAGATGACATGTTTCTCAAATTTTTTATTTCTGCGATAGTAACGTTGATAAACACGAGCACTATCTCTATCTTCGTGTTAAAGACGACGGTATTCTCCTCGATAGAGAGGTAATGTGAGATGCACTCAAATTTAACACCAATTGAAACTATTTGATCTCATCATGTTAAAATTTATGCTTAAAAAGATTGGCGAAGGAAAAGTTGATATTAAGGAAGTATATTCGCATGGTCACATGGACGTCTGGGTTAAATTACCCAAGTTATTAGGGTTGAGGAGTAACGGGGAAGTTCGCTTGATCATTGAATACGCTCGAACATAATGAAATGCCTTATTGAAAGTGTCGTCCTATTATATCAATGTCACGAGTATATGCTATTAAAGCGTGATATTCCATAAATCATGTTGTTCCATAAAATAAATAAGGAAAACTTCATTTTTTTAATATCGACTTTTACGCATACAAATTACGAAAGTTTATATACGATGAATGCTAAGAATAATTCGTGAAAAGGAGATTAGATAATTCTCGCCCTTTATAAAATTTATTCGGCTGTGAATTGAAGAACCAAGTGAACTTGTCCGTGGCTGGACAAACCAAGAAGTGCTGGTAATTTGAACCAGTCATCCACGTAACCCTTGGAGAAGACTTCCTTAAGATCGACTTTAGCTTCACCGATCTTTTTTATTATAATTAGAAAATTAATTGTTAAGGTTGTAGGAAAAAAGACAATATGAAATAATCTACTTTACCTTGTCGTCCTCGGTGATATCTTTATCAAGAACTTTGAGATGAAGAGTATGCTCACCATGGATATTGCTAAAAACAATAAATAATTAATTTATAACTGTCCGATCACATTGGGATATCAAAAAGAAAACATACAATTTGAAGTCTTCGTTCCATACTGGGTTTAGAGTACCATCTTTGACAGTAGTCTTTTGTTTGTAGCCTTTTTCAATCCAAAGTTCGACGTACGGGTCACTTTTGCCTATGATTATTTTTAAACTCAAAAGTGAGTTGATGTGTAGCAACAACTATGACTGTATTGCAAAGATAACTACTTTAATTTCTTGCATACCAATAAAATCTGTGTCCTTCAAATTTTTTGCCTCGACTATACGACGCATTATTATCCATTGTGATGAGACGAGACCAGCAAATACTTTTACCTTTAAACATTACGTATTATTATGATAGCTTACCAACAAAAACTCGGAGTTCACCTTTTACTTTCATGTTAACGTTTTAATTTAATAGCGATAGCGATAGTAATAACGATAGTAATAACGATAATAGCGCTTATCAAAAAACAATGAATCCGCACACACTGTTAAATAGTCATTGTCCGATACACAATTATTTTGGGGATTTCGCATGCACAGTGACACACTAACGCTATTTACGCTATTTATTTATTTGGGTAACGGTAATACGTAATGGTAATATTTATGGAAGATTCTAGCGAAATAATTTGACGTGACAGTTTATTAACAAAAGACTATGTACGATGAATTTTATTAATTCGATATAAACAAACTAAATACATTGATAATATTTATTCTGCACTGTATTGAAGGACCAAATGAACTTTGCCATGGCTTGTCAAGCCGAGTAGTGCTGGTAAGTTGACCCAGGTATCTACGTAACCCTTGGAGAAGACTTCCTTGAGGTCGACTTTAGTTTCTCCGATCTTTATCGTTATTATTAGAAGGTTAATGATATGTTGTATGAAAAAGAAAAAATGAAATATTTTATTTACCTTGTCACTGTCAGTGATATCTTTGTCGAGAACTTTGAGATAAAGAGTATGCTGGTTGTTGATGTTGCTGTAGAAAATAAACGTTTGTATTAGCTAACTAATACTTCAGATAAGATTAATGATGGATAAGAAAACATACAATTTGAAGTTCTCGTTCCATACTGGGCTTAGAGTACCCTCTTTGGTGGTAGTTTTTTGTTTGTATCCTTTATCAATATAGAGTTCGATATATGGATCACTTTTGCCTATTAGAATTATAATTTTCTGTGTTGAGATTTGATTGCATCTAGGCATTAATAGCTGTGCAAAAGAATAGATTCGTGTACGTACCAACAGTATCCTTGTCCTTTAATCCCGATGCTTCAACTACACAATAAAGATTGGTTTAATTAATTTAGGAATGAGAATAACAATTCACCTTAAGAGAATAACGATTCACCTTAAGAGAATAACAATTCACCTTAAGAGAATAAGCACTTACCAACAGTAACTTTGAGTTCACCTTTGTTCGACATTTTTACGATAATAAAATGGTTTACAAGAACAAACACCCACCAAACGTCTCTTTATATAAAAGATTTCATTCTAGTTGGAATATTCGCGATATTATTAATCTTGTCAACGTGCACAATAACTATCACTTATTTGAGCGTGAGAAATACAAAGGACGTAATAATTACATATTGTGATGCAATTGTGGAATGGCCGCTCTCGATTCGCTTTTAAATAGAGATCTTCGATGAGACCATCTTTTGTTGCCGTTTGGCGTCAGATCGTAACAAACACGCAATCACGCATAAGGAAAAAGCAAAAATCTTTTTTTATCGTTACGTTTAAGTTAACATTTTTGCTGATAATCATGAGATTTTTTTAGTGTGTGGCTTGATTTCCCTTTATGTTATGATATCATTGTTTAAATAAATGTTATTGATTTATTTCATATGATGACGAGATTGTGATTCAAATAAAAAAAAAAGGTAATAATGTGTTACGACACTATTGATTCATGATTAACCATATGTTGGGAAGTACTCCAAAACTAAATGAATTTCTCCGGTACTTTCTTTTGATTTTGGTTGTGAGACATGAATCCAAGTGTCTTGGTAGTAATTCTGGTAGATAGGCCCCAAGTCAACTGTGGTCTCACCAATCTTTTAAATTTAATAAATAAAATGAATTGATATTGGATAGATACGAGATAGATTCAACTAAACTTACATCATCGTTGGATAACAGATCTTTATCGAGAAGGCGAATATGCAAATGATGTTCTTTACCACTCAAAGGACTAACAAGGGAAATAAAATACACATTAGCACTGGGAATTTATTACAACGAATAAACGAATAAACACCACTTACAAAGTGGTCTCGTACAGCCAAACTGGAGTGGCGGTATTGTTACGTGGATCAGTTGCGTGTTTTTCGTGCCCGTCGATCCAGAATTCGACGAATGGATCACCTTTTTTAAATAATTTTATTTATTTACTGTATAAAAAAATGGTTATCTGTCCGTGACTATACAAATACCTTCACCTTAAAAATTGCAATAAATTTTAATAAATTGTTTATTCGAATAATATTAAGAATATCAACAATATTGAACTATCTATTTACCAATAGCGTCTGTATCTTTGACGTTTCTTCCTTCAACTGAACGGAAATAATTGTATTATTAATTCAACAGCCAAAAGTTGTTCACATGTTTTTTTGCCCAATTCTAATTCCAACGTCAAACTTCACAATACAATACAATTAACGTTTTACTTACGAACTCGTACGTGAAGTTCTCCTTTACTCATTTTCGATGAGTAAAAAGTAATAGAAAAAAATTGTGATAAGAAAAACTGTGACAAATAATATTTATGGTATTTATGAAACGAAGATTATGTGCTAAATGACAATCTTTTACTTTCTAAGAGAGCCCTATTCACGTCCCTAAAGCAGAGGTTGTTTAGGGTTCTTCTGTCGCACATACATGAAACAATAGATGTATGACAATGTTCATGGTACCCATAATCAGACGATTACTGTGAGTTATTTATTTTAATTATAGTTAAAGTTTACATGTGGTTAAATTATTTATATTTCTTATTCCTCTAAATGATTGGGGGAGGGGTTGCGATATAAATCAGTCAATATTTGACTTTACTTGAAAAATGAGCCAGACAACACTATCTCGCACGTGTATACAAAGTTTTATGCTGTGTTCTGATATGTGTTCGATTAGGAGAAATTAAACGTTTTCATTCCGATATCCAAAAAAAAGTTATTCGATCATATACTTTAATTACAGTACATGTATTTGCAAAAATGTTAACTGTATTAGCAGATTTTTCGTAATAACAGCACATACCGGTACATGTAAAAAAAACTTTCCTACGCCCTTGCGTCGTGACCATGTCATATGTGTTACACATGGTGCTAATTTTATTGGCTGAAACATATTACATTTCGAAATTAACGTTAACCAATAAAATTAATCTCTAAATTTAGAATGGCTGAGTCGCAATTTTACAGTCAAACCTCGATATGACGAACCTCTTGAGCTGGAAATTTTTTTGTTATATCGATTTGCCTTATGAAACTTCGCTGTATAGAGGTAATTTTAAAACACAAGGTCTTTTTTTCTTTCGTTATATCAAGGATTTCGTTATACCGAGGCGAGGTTTGACTGTATATCACAAAGTTCTTTAATCAAAGACCCCTGCTATCGTGAATCAGCTGAAATTTTGAAATCAGTCACTATTGATTCGGCATTAGTCACCGCTGCAAACATCGCAGTGAAGTGGACATTAGCTATTGTAGAAATACAAGAAGAGTTGGAGGAGTTGGTAAGGGAAATTTTACGTAAACCACATTTTTTTTTCTTACGAGTATTAAATATTTAACACGTTTCTTTGCACACAAACGAACATCATATTCCTGCAAACACCGCACTGGAAATAAATCACAACTTTAAACCAGAAGAGCTGAACTTGATAAGGGAGAGACAAGTTTCTGATTGGAGGAGTATCGTCAAAGTTCATTTAGCACATTAGATTTAATATGTAACATTATATGTATGGCTTGTTCCTAATAGCTTCACTATTCAGGGAAATACTCCAAAACCAAATGAATTTCCCCGGTACTTTCTCTACATTTCGGTGGACAAACAAAAACCCAACTGTCTAGATAGTAACTTTGGTAGAGTGACTTCAAGTTGACTTTAGTTTCACCAATCTTTAAAATTAAATTAAATTAAATTAAATTATTTATCTTTATATATACATGTACTAAGTACGAAGAAAGTAGATATAACTCACGTTATCGTTACTTAAAAAATCTTTATCGAGAAGACGGACATGCAAGTGGGCTTCACTACCGCTCAAGGGACTACGAAAGAGAAGATAAAAAGAATTAACATATAAATGATTAATGTACATTACTATTAAAAAAATGCTCTCCTTACAAAGTGGTCTCGTATAGCCAAACCGGCGTGTTGGTATTGCAACGTGAATCGGTTTTATGTTTTTCGTGTCCGTCGATCCAGAATTCAACGAATGGATCACCTTTTATTTTTTTTTGAATAATTTTATTATCCCTACATAGTTTTATAGTTAAAGTTTCAAATAAATACCTCGGCCTAAAAATGCGATAGAATTTTATTATCAAGTTCTGAATCTAATGACAACGAATTAAAACAAAGTCAATTTGATGAATGTATTATTTACCAACAGCATCGGTATCTTTAACGTTTCTTCCTTCAACTAAATAAAAAAAAATATGAGGTTAACTATCACACATTCTTTATTTTCACTTAACCACCAACATTCCATCCTCTATATTTTTTACTTACGAACTCGTACATGAAGTTGTCCTTTGATCATTTTCAATTAACGATAAAAAGAATCAAAAAAAGGGTTATCCGGTGCACGATAATCCTTTATAGGAATTTATTGTTGCACGTGATAAGAAAATTACGCGGGTTTTGTTGTTTTCTTTTTCTAATTCAAAATTTCGTGTGCTTTACTCTTTCGCTATCATCAAATTAAAAATTAATTTGAGTACCCATTCAAGCATGTCGAAACATTGTCAAAAATTGCTATATCAATTCTTTCTTCTTTCCAATAGCGCAACCCTCATCATCGCAACCATCAACCTATTCAAATTCTGCTGTTTTTCGATTGAAGTTCGCAGTTGGCTTCTTTTAAGTTCGCAACAAATATTCATCATAAACAAAGATGTAGTTTGCATATGTACGGGAATATTGTGGCCTCCATCACTCCTCCACAAATAGGATAATACTCTGGTGACGAGGCGGTAAATGGATCGACCTCCCTTTATGATTCAAGTCTCAGAAAATACGATACGTTTTTATTTCCATAAATTGCTTTTTATCATACGTAAAAAAAAGTCAATTCATTTTACATAATTATAATTTAGCTATGGAATAAAAATGTGATTAATTGCAACAACGACGACGACAACGACAAAAATGCAATGTTGAATGAATGACTAAAGTTTGTTAATAGAGAAGAGGCAGCCAGTGACGAATTTGTTTGTAAAGGAAAGTTGTGCTTTTATCTGGATAGAATCAAAATGAATGTACAATAGATTTTTTAAAATCTGAACGAAAATGTGGTTTTGTGAATAAGTGTAAGGAACGAAGAAATTTTAGGTTTAGAATAGGATCCTGATATAAAAAACAGTCAAACAAATAATCTTAAAATTGCTGGATCATTTAATAATCCAAGACTTCCGAATGCACTGCCACTTGATCCTGCTCCGACACTACCAATTAATTCACAATCGAGTTCATCAAGTCGAGAATTTTCATGCTCAACTTTTCGTTTGCAGCGTGTTGTTGACATTGCACGCTTCAGATTACTACCATTACTGCTGCCTAAGTGAGTGAATGACATAATAGAAGATGACAAGTTTCTGTCAGAAACAATTGAAATTGATTGATGTCTGGATGATTCGTAGCATTTACAAGGTGGTGGTATTTGAGGTAGTGATGACGGTAACCCCGTGACAGGTAGTATATAAGTTTCGGAAGATGCTGGAGTTTCTTGGTTTGGAATGGGGGTTGAAGATGGAGTAGGAGGTGTCGAGTGTCGACTATTCACAATATTAGTGCAGTACATGCCGAAACAGGTGAATAATGAACGAAGTGATTCTTGTGTGGTTCCGAATATCAGGAAAAGACTCCAGGCGATTAGTGTGTCAATGTATGCATACATTGTGTGTGCTGCCTTTTTCGCGGGATAATTTGGCGGATCATCGGGTAGAAAAAATTCGGTGGCTGGTTTTACTAAAAGAAAAAGGATGTGATTCCTATTAGCTTCGAAGATTAAAGCACACCAAACGAAGCAGACGATAATTTTTGCTTACCGGAAGTGAGTATAAATAGGGCAAGATATAATAGACAGAATAAGACCATCCGGACACACAATCTAAGAGTTATCAAGACATGTTTATGACATCACACACATAATGATAGTAACAAATTTATTGATCTAATTACCCCATTGGAATTGCCATGTTCTTTAGTGAACTTTGCTTTAGAAATTTTGCTCTATACGTAATTAGAGTCCAAGACGCGTGTGCTTTATTTTGAAATTAGTCATATTAGTTTGGCATATCAGAGCGGTGGTGCTCGTACGCACAATACGTGTAATAATACATACATCCCAAGCCAAGTCCAATAATTGTACATAATGCAAATGGAATATGATTCGTCACAAGTCTTACGACTCCATCTTCAATAGAACAAAAGAATAAGAGTGGAGGAGACACGCCATATGTGATGGATTGTTCGTGCAAGATAACGAATGCTATGCACGTTAAAATAAGTGGGAATAACCACGCGAATATAATGTATACCTAATGTTATTTTTATTCATTAGTTAAGCATATCTCAAATTATTTGTTATTAGAAATGAAATGAAATGAATAATACCTTGAACCACTTCATTTCCACATCACTTGCACCTTTCACCATCAACAACCAAAGATTAATCATCAAGCAAAATGTCCAAAATCCAATACACAAATGTGTAAAGTAAAGAAAGAATGATTGAGCGATGCAAAGGGGTGGTGGTGAAATATAAGTGGTAACATTAGCGTGCATTGCTGCTACTACTGCTGCCGAGGAATTCTTATCTTGAGCTGAGGAAAAGGGGTCAAGTGATGTCGCAAAAGTGGAGTTGGTGGTCATGTTCAATGTTGTAAATTCCAATGTTGCCAATTCATCCCCGTAGATTAAAGCCACTGAAAAGCTGGCGACACAATCGATGAATACAGCGAATCCGAGATTCGCTAGTGTATAATGTTTTCCTTTGAATGCGAATTGTACACCAAGAAAAAGTAAAAGAATGACGTTTATTAGTTGGAAAATAAGCCATATTAGTAAACTATCACTGTACATGGCTGCCATTGTGTATTTGATTGTAAATGTGTATATGCGTGTTTGATTTATTTTTAAAATTTTTTTTTGAGGGGTGTGTTTGATCGACGACGTGATTACATTCCTCAGAATGTTGGCCACTATCCAATATTTAGTATATATTTAAAGTATTTGATTCTTAGAGCGAGGAAGAGGGAAGGATTATATGAATTACGGATAGAGACAATCCATTTGTATCTTTTGTGTTTAATCAATGAACAAAAAAGTTTAATCTTGAAAATAAGAATTCTATTATGTATATAAATAGACAGAGAGTATGTGCGTAGGGCAGAGAGTGTTAGTTTGTCCAGCAAAAAGAAAGAGACAACGCGCGAAAAAACAGCTCGGTTTAAGCCAAACTTTGATAATATTTTCTGCCGATTCTATCTTTACTAAATTTATCATTACTTTTCTGCATTTATTTGAATCGATCATAATTTCCTGTTCTACTTTTATGGTGATTTCTCTTTTTTGGAAGAATTAATAGGAAAACCAAAACAATAATAAGTATTAAAATAGAGAATGAGAAACCGCCTAAACATGCATTATTTGTACAGCGGGACAATTGATTCAGGTTTAAATGGTTCAGTATGATTAATGGACTGAAGGAATAAATTCGGAATTATGCACGCAAAGCATCAATAGATGGAAAAAAGAAGGCGACAATCATCATAAATGGAAGACCAATTTTTTCTCTGCTCTTTTGTTCACTTACTCGCCATTTTTCAAAGAACGATGAGAATATCGAATTATTTTTCTCTCTGGATCAAGTCCGTCCATGTTTTCGAAATTGCAACACTTGTCAACAATATTGTACGCGTTCTTCCCTACACGCCAAAATATGTGTGTGTAACGTTCATTTATAAGACAACTATTAGAAACAAAAGTAACGAGAAACCAATCCCATTAAAGGAAATAATGAAGAAATAACATCCGTGAATGACGATAATATAAAAATCGATATGATTGTACATGTACATCGTCATTGTCGTTGCATTTAGAATAACGGCGTTTTACTCTTAAATTCTTTTTTCACTATTATTTTGGATAATAGAAAACCCACACAAAGAACGATCGATCGATTCATTCTACTTTATATTTCATTTGTTATCTTTCATAATTTTACTAACGCACAGACCACAAGACACATGCATACCGATACCAATTTTCCATTATTTATGTTATCATTACGAATAAATAAAACCCAGTGATACTTTTATCAAAATAGTATAAATCTAATAATATACCGATACGTTTCATCAGTAATAACCTTGGATAGATATTATGTAACCGCCAACATCATAGCGTTTTACTGATACCGCTGGTATCGCATGATTGCATACCATGGCTTTATATTTACTATTACGTACACAGTATGTAAAAAGGCTAAAAAAAACCAGTATCCAAAAAAAATAATTAACAAATTATTTTCATTCTCCGTCCTTCAGTAGCATTGTTGTAAATGTCATATTTAGACTAAGAATCGAATTTATATAAGAAACGTGTTGTGCCTTAGCCGCGCATTGGTGTAGAGTCGGACACGCAGCTCTGCCTGTAATTTTAAACTTATCGTTATACACTACAACTAATCCTCCTTGGTTGCTGTGTTTTTAACTCGAGCACCTTCGATTAATACATAATTTGCAATTGACTAAAAAACGAATTTATCAAAATTAATCAAAAAATCGGTTACTCACTAGAAATGTGGCTGCTGTGTCTCTAAATATAATCAAGATACTTGGAAGTGAAACCATTGGCAAAAAGATTTGATCGACCAATTACTTTCGAGATATTCAATTTAAATCTTACTCTTATTGCGCGGCTTTCCTTACCAAAGGTCTGCTATCGACTTATCAGAGAAAGAACATGGATAACTAGTTTAGAAGATGATTACCAAAATCAATGAACCTACTTTAGTTCCTGCAAATAAGAAGCGTGAACTTTCTCACATATATTTGTTAATTTTTGATTAATAACTGATTCCTTGCCAAAGTTAGATATATAACTTTTTACGTACGTATTTCATTGGAATCATCAAATCACTTTACATGCATTTCTCTAATCCCTCAAGTAGCGATAGGTGTAATGTAGATACTTGTATATTAATTTTAATAGTGATAGGTCCAATTCGTATTATTAACTTTTATAATAAAATATATATATTCATGAATGACTAGAATAATAAATATCAATTGGTACGTAATTGTCCGCTTAGTTTTGCATAATTTTTAT